CATCAAGAGAAAGAACTGGCAAATAGAAGTATGTATAGAATAATTTTACACATATGTATGTATATATTGTCGATTTTAAAGTTTGGTTAAAAGAGGCAAACAAGTTAGGTAATACATATTTATGTATTGTTTATTCCCTTAAGCTAGCAGAATTTCATGTACACAAGTGAGCCAGTAAATAATTCTGACTGGGATAAGCAATTTAAGAAAGACCTTTCATATTCCTAGAGCAATCCCAACTCAGGATGTCTATGTCACTCAAAAATTATAGTCTCCATTTGTTTAACCATAGCATGAGAAAGGAATTTTCTTAATTGAATAGGTTGCAAATACAATAAGAGAAGTGACAAAGTGTCAATTAATATTACAATCCCAGGATATGTGTTTCCCCTACATAGCATACATCCATAAAATACCACGATAAGAAAAGTCCCACTACTCAAGACAGTGTCCCATCTCAGGCGTCTTGTACTTAGTGGTCATAAATAGAAGAATGCTCCTGGTCAGCCTTATCCAACTCTGTAGTTGTTGACACAGGAAGGGGCATTCTGGGTTAACTCAGAGAGCAGAGCAAAACGTGTCTGTTATGCCAGGGTGCTTCTTCTGGTTGATTAGTTAGGTTCTGGCTCTTATTGGGGCTCAAATGATCTTAAATGATTATCAATATATACATACACACACACACACACACACACATATACATACATATCTAAATACACACACATATATGTATACGTATTTGTGTCTAATGTTAGACATCTCTAGGGCAGGAAGGTAGGGGGAAGAAAAAAAGGGAAAAAAGAAATTTAAATGACACTTGTGCTGCATATTTGAAAGAAATTGCAAATTGTGCATAGTAGAGTTGCAGTTTCATGTACAATCATCTTTTTTAATTATACTATGCTATGGAAATGCTTGTTTTATTCCACAAATTAAAAATAAAATAAATTTTAAAGCAAGAAAAAAAAAGAATTTGCTTTTATTGAAACCCTCTGGCCAAACTAGAAAATACAAAGGAAACCATCTTTTTGTAGCTGTGGATAACATACTTCTCCTCCCCTTATGCTTTAATAGACTTTATTCACTACATTGGGATAGGGCTTTTATCTGTGGTCTTCAAAGGGTGTCTTCTTGTGAACACAGGCTTCAATGACAATGTGTCTCACTGGGGTGCTGGCTCATCTTTTGTTTTTGGAGCTAGCCACTATGGTTACAGGTGTCTGTAATCAGGCTTAGCTTTGACATTGTTTTGAGGTTGGGAGTGTGAATTCCGTCTTTTATTTATTTGGGAGGTGGTGTGATGGGGGAACCATTTAATCATGTTATTTAGGTCTCTGATTCTGGTAAACATTTTAGATGAGCACCTGAGCGTATGATAAAGCTACCAAATTCCAAAGTGGAGACAAAGACAAGTGAACTTATCCAATATTCTAAGATAATATTCTAAGATATGCACTCACTGTCTTCCCTGATCGATGTTAAGCAGTGAGGTGGTACAGTGAATAGCATACTGGACCTGGAATCAGGATGCCCTGATTTCAAATCCTGCCTCTGACCAGCTATGTGACCCTAGACAAATCACTTAGCCTGTCAACCTCAGTTTCCTCATCTGTAAATTGGAGATAATAATTGTACCAACCTCCCAGGGTTGTTGTGAGAATCTAATGAGAAAACATATGTAAAGCACCTGGTAAATCTTAAAGCACTATTCATGGGTGGGGGAGTAGCCACCTCAAGGCTACATGTGGCCCTCTAGGTCCTCAAGTGTAGCCCTTTGACCAAATCCAAACTTCACAAAACAAATCCCCTTAATAAAAGGATTTGTTCTGTAAACCTTGGATTCAGTTAAAAGACCACACTCAAGGACTTAGAAGGCCACATGTGGCCTCAAGGCTGTAGGTTCCCCACCCCTGCACTCTTTAAATTCCAGCTATTATTATGTTTAAAAAGATTACCTCTCTCTTGCAGAAAATGACTGAGCCAACACATTGAATGACGTTCCTTCACTTGGTTGTAATTTTTTCATTGTAGATTACTGTATTTGATACTGTATTTTGACACTTCCAAGTAGAACTGTACTAAAGACAAAACTGATTGACAGTAGCCCAATCAAAGCATTCTCATTGAGATCCACAGTTCTCAAAAGGTAACAAACTTTACTTTCTCACATCTGGGTAAAAATGGTCACATATACAAGAATATAATTGTTGTATTATAACAAGCAAAGTAAAAATTACATATAAACTATCCTTTTAAATACTGTTTTTAAAATCTCTAGATAAGATTCTTGGGGAAGAATATGTATCTTAACCCATCTGCTAATATTTTACCACACTAGTTAAAAATATAGCTCACTAGAGAGATTGAGAAGTCAATTTCTTCACAAAGTCAATTTGGCAATATTTATTCAAGATCAAGAGATACTTTCTAAAATAAGTTTTTATCGATGTTTTCTGTTTCTTACAACACCATAGTATCTCATGTATCCCTCTCCCTCCCACTCCTAGAGAACCATCCCATATGACACACACTATTTTTTAGAAATGGGAAAAAAAAGGTCAGGAAACTGACACATTGAAAAAGTGTGAAAATGTGCAATATGTAACACCTTGGGCCTTTCACCTCCATGAAGGGGTAGGTTGGAGGTGTCTTCCATCTTTTCATTCAAGTCTCACTTGATCTTTATAATCTTATCACATTTACTTTTAACTTTTTGGTGTCTTTATTCTTTCTGTTTACACTGCTTTAGTGACTATGTATATTGTGTTCTTGGCTCTGCTTACTTCACTCAGCATTGATCCATATAGATCTTTCCATGCCTCTCTGTATTCATCACACACATCATTTCTTACAGCCCAGTCATCTTCCATTATATTCATGCACCACAATTTCTTTAGTTATTCTCCAGTTGATGAGCATCTACTTTGTTTCCAATTCCTCACTGTCACAAAAAATGCTGCTCTAAATATTTTGAAATACATGAGGACTTTTTTTTTTATTATCAATAGCTTCTTTGGGTTATAAGCCCACATGAGATACTTTCTGTGTGAATTCGAAACTATAAAATTTCGTGGATGTCCTTTATTGAATCCATTGCTAGCAATCTATGGTGCAAAGGGTCATAGTCCTTAAGATTGCTTCTTCCCTTGCATAGTTTCTTTCTAAATTATTCAATGTCTGTGTCTGGCCTTGATGTGTCTTTGCTCCTGGTTTAATTCAACTCACGGTTGAATGTGTTGGTTTCCCTGGCCTAATATCTCCAATAACATGATCAGTGGGAGTGGAGGAGAGAGATTGAGAAACTGTTTCTTTTCTCGTCCCCTCAAGAGCCATTCCTTCTCAAGCGCTTATCTTCAAATAGAGCCAGTCCTCTGAAATGGACCCCCTGAAGGACTCGGCAGCTTGATGGACCCCTTGCTGAACTTTTCCCATCTATTTAAAAGTGCCAGAGATATGGTTAGCTTATTTGGTTTGTCAATCATGATTTTGCCTTCTTGGCTCAATCAAAGAGGTTCTCCTCCCAGACTACCTTCCACCTGCTCTGTACCTATCTTGGAACTAGCTAGTTATTTACATATTATCCCCTCTATTAGACTGTATGCTCCTTTAGGGCAGGGATTGGTTTTTTTTTTTTACTTTTTTTCCCATCTCCAGAGCTCAGTGAAATTTTTGGTGCAGTGTAAGCACTCAATAAATACTTATTGAATGATTGATTGACTGACAGTCTGACTGAATGAATGTAGTAATTTCAGGGCTAGAACACTGAACCTAGGGTTAGGAAGACTTAAGTTCGAATCTTGACTTAGATACTTAACAGCAATGTGACTCTGGCCAAATCATTCAACCTCTCTCAGCCTCAATTTCTACATCTATAAAATGGAGATAACAGCACCAACTCATAGTATTATTGTGAGGATCAAATAAGATAATATGTAAAATGCTTGGCAAAACTTAAAGCATTACATAAATGTTAGGCATTAGTAATAGTAGTAAATGATAAATGATTTTTGATTGATTGACGGGAGAGTTACATGTCCAGAAAAAGGTAAGGAGGTATATGCCCTTCAGGATCTAGTCCACCAGTAGCTGAGAGAAGGGCTCATCATTAGCAATGTCTCATTTGGATATGAATTGGGTGAGTGCCAATACCATGCAGAAACTATTAAATCTGAGCCCATTCTCTCCAGAGGTGATACAGAGGAGAGTTTACTCCTGAAGTGGTGGGGTGGGGAGAGAATGTTTATACTCCTGTTCTTGCCATTGCTTTGAAGTAAATATCACGTTGTAAAAGCTATGTCCATTGATGTTAATTGGTTAAATAGACTGGAGTGTTCATCGCTGGTGATTAATTGTGGATAGAACCATACCAGAATGGGGGCTTGAATCAATGGCATTTAGAAAAAGGCACGCCAATGGTGCCTGTAAAACCCTAGGAGGACAATGTAGCTGGTCTAGGTCTTAACTATCTGTTTATCTATCGAACTCTCTCAGCCCCAGGACAGCTATACTGTCCCCTCAGGGTTAAAAGGATATGTACATCTATGTCTTTTTTCTATAGGCCAGATTCAGTACTATAATGTATATTCTCTCTCTTTACATGCACACATAATATACGTGTGTATACATATATATGTAATTTCCTTATCTCTGTAAAAATTATACATCTCCATCAGTAGAATGTTAGCTCCTTCGTGGTATGGCCCATTTTCTTTGAATCCCCAAAGCTTTTTTACAAAAAAAAAAAAAGATGGTTAATAAATTTTTATTGAGTTTAAAAGAGAAGTATTGTACGTCTAGGAAATTACTTCATTGTCAAAATCCATAAGCCAGAGAGGAAAGAATGATTAAGGAGAAGCAATTTTTCATTAAAAATCCATTCATTTCTCAGTAAGTGTATGCTGAGTATTATGCATGGTGCTGTGGATAAAAAACCCAAACCAAACCAGAACACAAAACAAAATGAGAATCAAACCATTCCTTTCCACAAGGTGCTTACGTACTTTTAGTTAACTGGAGAAATACAGAGATATTCTCGTGGAAGACTGCTCTGCCAGAAGAATTGGAAGATCATAGAGCTGCAACAGAGGGATGTCTCAAGAATGACTACCACTACTCATGGATGGTAAAGTGTCCCAAGTTGATGCCATGTGAGGATCCCCAAGGACTTGGGAGTACTTGGCCTGGAGAAAAGAAGACACAGCAAGATTGGCCCGCTGGGTTACCTTTTACTCAGCTCTCTCTTGCTCACTTTTCAATTCAATTCAATAAATATTTATTAAGTGCCTGCTATGTGTGAGGTACTATGATAAGCATTGGGGATACAAATTAGAAAAAGGAAGACAGTCCATACCCTTAAGGAAGGAAGACAACACACAAAAGGAAACTGGAAAGTCAGTGGACACCAGGGTGTACCCAGAGAGGGGGCATCTTGTTCCGTGGAGTTGAAACAAGCAGAGCTGCAGATGGAAAGTGGAGCGAGCTACAAAGATCAAGGTCCACACTCTATAAAGCAAATCTTTGAGTACAGTTTAGTACTCCACCCTCAAATCCTCCAATTAGACAGGAGAAGAGGCTGAGGGAGGTGGAAATATCCAAGGTGTTGAATATCCAAGGCTGAGTTAGTAGTGTGGTGAAAAATCTGAAGTAATCAGATTATTCTGGGAGGGGAATCTTGTTCTACGAAGTTGAAATCAAGTCTATTTGATCAAGTCTACAGCTTTAGCTATAGATGGAAAATGGAGAGTTAGTGGTTTGGTGGAGAAGGGGGATATTTCTTCTATGCATCACTTTTTTGAGGGAATGTGTTTTTTTTTCTTTTTTGGCTAGGCAATGGGGTTAAGTGACTTGTCCAGGGTCACATAGCTAGTAAGTGTTATGTGTCTGAGGTTGGATTTGAACTCAGGTCCTCCTGACTCTAGGGCCAGTACTCTATACACTGTTCCACCTAGTTGCCCTTCATCTATGTAGTTTGAAAATTAATGTCCCAAGCTAGACACAGGACTTCAGATGTGACCTATTCAGGAATTAATGTTGTGGAGATATTAAACAATCTTGGCATTAGAAGGGAGACAATGAAGCCAGTAGTCAGAGACTATGAAATTCACCTGAAATCTGAACATGAATTTTCCGGACAATATCCCTGGCAGGTGGAAATTCAGACTTTTTTTGAAGTCTGCCAGTGACAAGAAGCTCACTGTTTCTTAAAGGAGCTTATTCTACTTTTGAGCCACTCATTGGGTAATTTTCCATTGTATAAATCCTAAATAGATCACCTACAGGCACCTGAGGTCATGGGTTTTATCACTGGCCCTCTTTTTGAATATTATTTCCCATAAATTACCTCTCTTTTGTTATTCTATTTCCTCATATCTACCCAGCATTCTTGGTTTACCAGGCGTGGCATATCTTTGGGGTCAGTTTCCTCTGTCTTACTCCCCTTTTCTTTGAATGGTTCTTAATTATAGAATGTAAGCTCCTTGAAGATGGGCACTAGTCTCAACCTTTTGTTTTTTGTATGCGTAGTACTCAGCACAGTACCTGGCTCTTAATGAATGCTTAATAAATGCTAGTTGACAGATTAATTGAATAAAACTTGCTAAGCTTTAGACAAGCATATTTTTATTGATCTTGGTGAATTATATCCCATCCCATCATCAGTCCTATATTTTTAACCATGGTCCAGAAACACAAATCCCAGGTTCAGATACCATCTTATTAGCCAGCCAGTAATTAATAATTAGCCACCTCCCCAAAATGTCTTTCTCTTCTGAATCCCTTACCTTCCATTGGTATTAGTAATGAAGATATAGTCCATGTCCTTAAAGCCTTCATTTGTTGTTCGGGGAAACATAATCCTTAACAAGACTTTTCAGGTTCCTTTAGGTGGTATGTTGGTCTCTATACAAGTCAGCAGAAATGGTCAGTTACCATCAAATTGACAAGCCAAGGAAGATGCGCTATTAGGTCCCAGATACAAAGTCCAGGAAGACAGCATACCTCTCTTTTTTTGAATGCTGGGCCAGCAAATAGCTGCCTTATTAACATTTGACAGAGACTCATTAGCAACTACTATTTTTGTCTTTGTCTGACCATGGTGAAATGACTCCTCACCGGACGGACTCTGGTTCTGCATCATCATGCCTTGGAACAAAAGCTGTTTCTTCTAGCGATGATCCAGGACCATCCTCCACCCCACTCCTTGCAAGAATAGACTAAATAACAGGGCTCATTTACTTCCTTAGACTCAGTGGCTTTCCTTGCTTTTCCATGTCACATTCTTACTTTGCTAATAGTTATAGGTTACAATTTCCTTCTATCTCTTCAAATCATTTTTTGGCTTCATCCTTGAAACACTTCTTCCCAAGGAATGTTGTATTCTCCTTCATAACCTTGACTCCTTGCCTCAAATTTCTCCCTACTTCAATCTATCATCCACACAAGTGACAAAATGCTTTTCCAAATCACAGCTCTGACCATATTAATCTCCTCCTGAAAAAAAAAAACTACATCGGCTCTCTATTATTTCTAGGATCAAATATAAAATTCTCTTTTTAAAAATAAAGACTTTTTACCACCTAGCTTCCTCCTGTACATGCTCACCTCCACACACTCTGTGGTCCAACCATACTGTTCTCCCCTCTGTTCCTCACACATCTTCAATGTGCTCCATTTTCTGCCTTCACATTATCCCCTCTTGCTTTTTAATTTTGGCTTTGAAAACAACAGTCCAGTCAACACTACCAAAACATCCCTCTCTGGCTATCGTTCCCTTAGATGTGTTGTCTTTCACACGACAGGGGCTATCTTCATGTTTGTATTTGCATCCTCAGAATGAATCACAGTACCTGGTACATTGTTGTTACTCTTGCTTCAGTAGTGTCCAACTCTTCATCTGGAGTTTTCTCGGCAGACATACTTGAGCGGTTTGCCATTTCCTTCTTCAGCTCATTTAACAGATGAGAAAACTAAGGCAAACAGGGTTAAGTGACTTGCCCAGGGTCACATAGCTCATAAGTGTATGAGGCCGGATTTGAACTCAGGAAGATAGTCTTCCTGACTCCAGGCCTGGCACTCTAACCTCTGCACCACCCAGTTGCCCTACCTCGTACATAGGAAATGGTTAATAAATGCTTTTTTCATTCATTTATTCATTCATTCATTCATTCATCCACCCATTCATTAAATTAACCGTGAGATTTACCCACCTTGTTTCAACTTGAAGTTGATATCCAGTGATCTTCCCTACTTCCCTTGACACTAGGCTGTCTGAAAGTGAAATTGCTTCATCTTTTTTCCTTGGTTTCCTCATCAGCAAGATGAGTGGACTGGACCATATGACCTCATAGATCCCTTTTAACTTTTTTACATTCTATGAGTTTAAGTCCAAGCTTTGGTCTCCAAACTTTCACTCTGTATCCTCTGGTAAATATTTACTGGTGTGATGCTGGAGACCTGGTATGACTCATTTCTGATTGAGCCATTCCAGACATGTCTATTTCCTCACTACCTCTAGGCATGTTGTTAGTATTCTTAATTTTTAAAAAGGGCAAAAATACATTCACAGATTTCCTCTATAAAACAAGATTAATTGTAATCAACCTGATTAGGAAGAAATTGAGCCTGAGTGATAAAAGACACCAATGCAAAAGTTACTAAGGCCCCAATGAGTAATTTTAGTGATCTAGGTATAGAGAACTACATCATAGGGACAAAGATGAAATATGTCATAAAGTAAATTCAGTGCTTTTAGGAAATAACAATTCTTCCACCAGTCACTATAAGATCATGTCCTTCCCAGATCAATGAATTCTCCTGGGGCATTTGTAGAATTCTGCCTTATAGAGTGGGCACCTGAAAGTTCAATTAAACAGTTAAGATGTCTGAGTATGCTGTATATATAACCCACCTTAGCAAGTCAGGCTGCATATAAACTCTTTAGAAAGTGTGTTTAGCATACACAGTTTGCATCTCAAAATAATAACTGGGAAGAGAGTTAAAAGCAATTCAGAATCCAGCAGTTTGAGTGACTGAAAAAATAAAATGACAGCATATGAAAATCCTTCAGAAACTTCTAGATAACTTTGGACTTCATCTTAGCGTTCATGAACATTCAGAAGCGGGTGAGTCTTTTCTCCTTAGCCCAGTCCTGGATGTCTGCACGGCCAAAGATTACATAGATGATCATTCCTGCCAAATTAATTGCAGCTGATAGCAAGAACACATTCTTCCAGCCGGATACTGAGTCCTGCGGGTAGAAAACTGACACTAGTATCATTCCAGATATTTTCCACTCTTCTAACTCCCAAGATTCTCCCTTCAGTTAAAAGGTAGAAGAGTCACATGGTAGATAGGATCTGCTATGGGATTGTCATGGTACATCATGGTGAAAGTGAATAATTGGCAGCTAAAAAGAAATCCTCAAAACATGGATGGGGCAAACAGCATTTATGATGGAATTATGGCTTGTTCTGTTTTATTTAGGTCTTTACATATTAGTTCATGGTTGTTCTTAGGAAATATAGACAGCAGTATAAATAAAAGGTTAGCTTTTAAAAAAAATAAGTTCTGATGTGATTGCTATTTAAAAAATATCTAGTATTCTAACTGCCTTTTAGATCATTAAATCCATTGTTAGATATAAGAAAAATAGCAAAATGATCCCTGTGAAGGCTGTATTAGAGCAGAATTAGTCACAGTTTGTATCTACCAAAGAATTCACTACTGTGCTGGTCCAGGCCTGAAATCAGGAAGGACTGCATTCAAATCTAGTCCAGGGCATATACTAGCTGTATGACCCTGGGTAAGTTACTTAAGTTCTGTTTGCCGCAGTTTCCTTAACTATAAGATGAGGATAATAGCAATACCTATCATCTCAGAACATTGTTGTGAGAACCAAATGAGATATTTGTAAAAAAAAAAAAAACATGTAGCATAGTGCCTGGCACATAGTAGGTGCTATATAAATTTGTATTCCCTTCCCTTTATTGACTCAACATTCTCTGGACACTTCCTCTCCTCTTCTTTTTTTTTTTTTACCAACTAGTTCGCACTTGACAAGTGAAATTCAATTATTTTAAGAAAAGAACTGTTTGGGGTTTATTTTGTGTTCCTGTATTGTGTTTCTTTCTATAAAATGTTTGATCAAGGCAGAGTCTAAATCCTTTTTTTTTTAAGAAAAAAATGTGATTATGTTTTACCTGATTTATGAGATATCCAGTAACAGTGGGTGAAAGGATTCCTGGTATCATAGTAAAAACTCCTCCAAGTCCCATGAGAAAGCTAGTATACCTGAGAGAAGAAGATTTTGCCAGGTTAAACTGATTTTTTCATTTAGCCTGATGTAAGCAATTAACCTATTATTCGAACAGCAACACATACCCCACGTATTTTTTATAGAACATGGGCATTTGGCCTTTACAAAATCCTACTCTGATGCCTCATTACAGTTTGGAGGTGACTATGAGTTCTTCAAGGCTATGGCAGCAAAGGATAAACTTTGTAAGTTCTACCATGTTGGCAAGGCTTTGAGTATGACCCTGGCAATGGACTGAAAGCAGGACCAGCTTTGCTAAGTATGGGGAACTCTTTGCCAGTACTTGGCCACTTGGTGATGTGATTTTTGGCTATCACAACCCATTAAATAAAGAAAAAATGTGTCTAAGCTCTGTGTAGCCCCTTTCACTTCTGATGTAATAGAGTGGTGGAAAGAGGTCCAAAAGTGTAAGAATCATAACGGTTTGTGATTTGATTGTTAGTATTCCAAATGTAAAATGCTGGCCTGATGAACAACAAATGGACATATTGTTAGAGGAGCCAAATCACATAAATCCTGACATTCTTTCAATAAATGAAACCCAAAGAAAGGACTTTGCAGCTAAATGGAAGTCTGAGTCATAGATGCTCCATGGAAAGGCAAAGAAAGGAGTTGATAGAGTACATTTACTATAGAACAAATGGGCATAAAAATGTTTTTCCATAGGCTGTCTGGTCATCTTGTATTGCAGTACTGGTAAGTATTTGCCAAAAGACCACAGGAATAATTGCAGCTTATGTACTTATGTTACTGAGGATGAAGAGTTAGGGAAATTCTATGAAGACCTGTAGTAAGACCCTTCAAAATAAATCAACACACACTTTGATACTAGTTGGCTTTAAGACAAAGGTGGGGAAAGATGAGGATGATGAGAAATATATAGGAAAGCATGGTCCAGGAAGAAGGAATGAGAGAGGTTAAGAGTTGTAGAATACATAAACGTAGTATATCTTAAAAATCATAAACACCTTTTTCTAAAAACAAAACCAAACCAGGAGATGCCAGCCTTGGGGAATACAATGGATATGTTGCCCAAACAGCTGAATCACATCAATCTCCACACTTTTTGTTTTTCTTCCTTTTTTTTTTTTTTTTTTGCTTTTAGGCAATTTGGGTTAAGTGGCTCACCCAGGGTCACACAGCTAGTAACGTGTCAAGTATTTGGTCTCAGGCTGGATTTGAATTCAGGTCCTCCTGACTTCAGGGCCAGTGCTCTATCCACTATGCCACCTAGCTGTCCCCACACTTTTTCAATAAATGAAATCTTAAGAAAGGACTTTGCAGCTAAATGGAAGGATGAGTCACAGGTACTCCATGGAAAGATAAAGGGGGACAGCTAGGTGGCACAGTGGATAGAGCACCGGCCCTGAAGTCAGGAGGACCTGAGTTCAAATCTGGCCTCAGACCAAACACTTGACACTTACTAGCTGTGTGACCCTGGGTGAGTCACTTAACCCCAATTGCCTAAAATATATATATATTAAGAAAGGAATTGGCAAAGTAGATCTATTGCATGCCCAAAGGCAACAGCAAATATAGTTGTTTCTTGGGATATCTGGTGATTTTGTATTACAATACTGAAGAGTATCTGCCAAAAGACCACCATGCAAATAATTGAAGTGTTGAAGCTTCTTCACCAATATCAATTGCTGAGGATGAAAAAGTAGGGAAATTCTATTTAAAACATGATAAGACATTTCAAATTAAACCAACATACACTGTGATACTAGGTAGCTTCAATACAATGAATAGCCCTGTTCCATGACCTTCTAATCTCCACCTGATAAACATCTGGAGACACATAAAATCAAAAATGTTCACTACTGTGATGGAGGAGATCCCATGCAAAGTCTCTTTTGAAGAGAGTTTCTTTATGGATTTTGAGATTCTTCAGAAGCTTTTGTTTGCAAATGATATTATGCTGGTCGCATTAAGTCCTAGAATATTTCAGATCTTCCTCAAAGAGTTCTATAATTGCTCCAAAGAGTTTGGCCTAACCATCCACACAGGAAAGAACAAGAGGATGAAGAATATCTAGTGCCAACATTATGACATATAGTTGGATAGGAAAGTCATAGAGTTTGTTCAACAGTTTGTTTATATGAATCAGAAAGTATAAGTGGGCAATAAATTGGAACAAAAGTTGAACAGGAACAGGAAAGTAGGTTGAATTACCTTTAGGAGGTGGCAAGGCTCTTTTAATGACCCCAAGCTTCTCATAGAAACAAATGCCCAATTTTTTGATAGCAACATTCTACAAATTTTGCTGTTCAGCAGCAATACATGGAATACAATAGTCTCCAAAGATTTAAAAATGAATAGCACGAAAAGACAATGGAGAGGTGTGTTGCGGGTGTGAACCATCTACAACATATAAGCTATGAGGAATTTTAAAGGACAAGAACAAAAGTTGTCATCAAGGAAATCTATGATGGGAAGGGAAGATGATCTGGCAAAGTAGTGAAATTGAGGGATGAGAGCTGTACAGCTTGAGTTCTACATCGGTACCCTGTCAATGTCAAAAGAAAGCTAGGATGGGCTCTAGCACCAGGGTGGACCCCCTGTAGTGAACCTCTAGGAGGATATGAATGGTAGTTTCATAAGATGGGTAGACATGGTTGAGCTTTGATCTGTATCACTGGCTCAAAGAAATCACAAATTTATTTGATTAGTTGAATACGGTTGCTTGGAAAAAAATGATGTCAGCAATAACTGATAGAATTCAATCTCGTCTAAGGAGCAAAATGAGTTTTAACCTCTTTTACGTGGGACGGGTAGACAGTAATCATATGGTACATGGCTCAATACATATCAGCCTTCCAGGGAACACAGTGATACAGTAGCACATTTGAACCAAGAAGGCATCAAATTAGATTTCCATCCTTAGGAGACCACAGATGGCAATCCAACTCTTCTTCTGGGTCCACAGCACAAGCTCTGTATCCTGAGTAAAGCACATGAAACTCACACAGCAAATAATGAAGCTATGAGGTCCCCCATTTTTGTAGATCAATGCCCTATGGGTTCTATGGCCCTGGTAGGCAGTAGACCTGGAACTTCAATTCAGGATCAATTCAATTAGACAAACATTTATTAAACACCTGCTACAGGCAAGGCGGCACTGTATTAGATTCTGGGAATATGTGGGGAAAATGTGAAAACTGTCTGTTCTCTTGAGGAACTTACATTCTACTGGAGGGTCCCACACACGTATGCATGCATACATACATATGCATATGTGATATATGTACACATACAAATTGTATGTATAGATACAAACTGTAAGTGTATTC